ATGATTAAGCCCCCAAAGCCTTCAGCTAATACTAGCTCTCTTCCAGCTGCAATTACCAACATAGATGAGACACCCATCACTTGAAGAGAACTTTGCAAATTAAAATACAATAACATTTTGTTCTACTTTGGTTTAATATAAGGCTGCCCCGAATATACGCTTCGTTGAGGGTACTTCCATAGCTGACCTTTCTTTTCTCGCATTGAACACTGAAAAACAGGATTATCCAACTTTTTCCATAAAGTAGGGTGCTGTTATAGAAGCTATCTTTTTTTTCAAACTACCATAGGATGCTACTGTCAACCATGAACCTCTTTCTCAGCTAAACCGAAGATAAAAGAGGAAACATTCTGCCCATTAACTCCCTAATGAATGTGGTGATAAACAAGAACAGCATTACTTGAACTTAGAAGCTGAACGCTATGGCTTGTGTCTACAGGATTAAAGAGGTACTTTACCAGAGTAAGGGGGCTGGGGCATCCCTGCTCCTAGTCAACCCCGGGGACACTAGCTCCTGGCTAGTGAGGCAGTGTGCGGAGTTCACACTGTCTGCTAAGTCTTTTGCTGAGTGTCTTCCAGCTGAGGACTACTGAGCTGAGGAAGCATGTCTTCCTCTCACCTTTGACAATGCGCTCATCTCTTACCACATCTTCCTGTTTGGTTGTTACTTGTTTATCAGCTGTTTTCTTTCTGAGTCAGGGTCTCCAAAGTGTTGCTGAGGCTGATTTCAGACTCCTGGATGCTAGTGATAATCCCACCCCAGCCTCCCAGGTGTACCAGTCTCTGTGATGGTGAACAGGAAGTCTGAATTGGTGCCCACTCTGCCTCAACTTTTGTTTTGTAAACTTGGCCATGTTATTTAATCTCTATCTGTTTCTTTTTTTTTTTAAATCTAGATAACAATGACCTCTTTAATTTAAAAATTAATTTATTCATTTTGTTTATATATATATGTGTGTATGTATGCATGTTACACATTATGATATAGAAGTCAAAAGGCAACATGTGGGAGTGAGTCTATCCTCTCCTTCTATTCCTTCTACTATGTGAGTGCCAGGGATTGAAGTCAGGTCACTGGGCTTGAGCCGTCTCACTGTCTCATTGGCTTCTTTCTAAAACAGAACCACTGAAGACTGAACAAGAAGGTGCATTTTCTTCTAAGGGCTTCATAAATAATGGTCACATTTCCTCTACAAAATTAAGAGCACCCCTCTGTCCCTACCCATGACCAATATTACAGATTGATTCCATGGAACCTGTGAAATTCAAACCCCTTCTAGAAACTTGGGGAACAGTGTGAACTAATGAAGTAGATCTTGTCCAGCCTAGCAGTGGAAGAATCCACTTCACGTCAAGGGCAATTGTAATAGAGAAATGGAAACAACACAATGTACCCATCTTATCACAGGCCTGATGCTTTAACCATGGAGTATATTCCATAGCTAAGAAATAGGCATCTTATTTTCTATTATAGAAATCTCATATATATTTCTATATGAGCATTCATATTGAGCCTACATAATTTTTATCATATTAAAAGAAATGTGGAGAGAGCAAACACAGTCAAAATTATCCACTACATGGCACAGGTGATTTTTGAACCAGGTTCATTTTGTTGCCAATCAACTAATTGTTGCTATTTTCCTGCCAGAATTGCATCTAAGTTGATTTTAACCCTCTGGTCCAAGTCAAAATTTCCCAATTAAATTCCTCTGTGTCACATAGGTATTGTAAATAGCAATCTAAAGCAGCCAAGTGTCGTGAAGAAAGACAGCTTTGTCTCCACCATCACAAGACTCCAATACTCCCCCCACCCCAATATTGATTCTCTCACACACTTTTTCTTACTTCAGTTATGATATCTAGGCTCTGGGCCTGATATGTGATGGAAGGAGGTTTACTTGTATTTGGCTGTTTTTCTTAATCCCTGGGATCTTGGGACACTATGCTCCAAGGCCAGGTGCCATTCTTTTAGTGCTTTTTATTGACATGTTAATTCAGGCTCTGTTTATTCATCTTGCAAAAGAGACTCATCCTGCGAAGATGAAGATTCATCCCACGAGCTTCAAAATGAGTCATTTCTAAGGAACTGGGTAGTGCTTCATGCCAACTCCTAAATAGCTGGAAGACTGATGCTTTCTCCCATCTTGTGCCATCTCTTTAGAGGTTCATCTTGCATTTAAGGTTAAGGGAGATAATTTGCAATCCAAATTTGCAGCTCTCTATTAGAAGTCTATTACTCCCCAAATATAGTGCTACAGATGCTCATTTAAACTCCGTGATGCATGCCCACCACCCAAATATGTGGAAGAAAGAGAGGCAGGAAGGTCAGGAATTCAAGGCCTGTCTTGCAACTAGTTAGTGTGAAGCCAGCTTGGGCTCCATGGAATCCCATTTCAAAACATCAGCAAACAAAAAGCAAAACAAGAAAATGAATGCAAAAACAAATCTTATAATAAACTCAATGATTGTCTTCAAGTGATCTTTCTGTAACTTGTCCTGCTAAGGAACTCATAGAACGTGTTGGAGTGGGTCATAGTGAAAGTAGTGATTTCTACTCCTGAAAAATACATGACATTTGTAAGATGTTTGTTCCCAGAGACACCACTCCCATGAATTATAAACACCTTTATGTTTAAAATTCTAGGTTAAAGGGCATGTATTCCATAAAAGCTTCCTCAAAAGTCTGTATTTCCATTCCTTAAGGGAATAATTAAGATTTTTGGTTTGTACCCTCATTCAGGAAGCCATACAGTTGTGTTCTGATGTACTCAGCTTCCAGCTGATCTTAAGTGAGTATCTTCTAGAGACAGACCCAACAATACATTAATTTCTTCCCAATTAATATAATCGATTTAGATGTGATTGAAAGTGCTTTAGAAAGAAACACCACTAAATGGATTAGCAATGCCACAAGTGGTCTAGCCACTGATCTGGAAGGCAGGCAGCCTGGTTTCCTACTCCTTTATTCTGTTCATGGAATCTTCTGGGCCCAAAATTTTCAATCACCCAAGCAATAGCTTTAAGATTCCTTGTAAAAGGAAGGGCAATAAATGAAACAATGATTTTAAGAAAACAGGGCTCTCTCTCTCTCTCTCTCTCTCTCTCTCTCTCTCTCTCTCTCTCTCTCTCTCTCCTTCATTTCTATAAGTCCTAGATAAAGGGGTCACTGGTCATTTCTCTGAAACTTATGCAGGTCACATACATCTTAACACTTGAATCATTTAAAAATATATGGCACATAAAGGAAACTTCCAGATGTATAGTTATCTCTAAGGGCAGGCTCGACACAATATTTCTTCCCCAAGTTTCAAGACAGTGGCTCTTGCCCAATCCAGATAAGCCTCCCAATCATCAAATACAGAATCTGCTATCTGTACTTGGAAGTGAGAACCTCCATGTTTGGCTGAAAAGACAACGAAGGAAGGCTATTTATAATGCAGCAATAGTTGAAAAATTCTCTATTCAACCTGAGATGTAATTACAAGGAGCACAGTTTTACCCTTAAAACTATTAGATTTTCCTAAATTTATACAACAATCCCCTCTCCACCTGTAATTTAACAAACCCCTTGCTTAAAAATGTCTTCCGAATGCAATGGATCACAGTACATGGAATCCTGTACCTGTCAATCTTTACACCCCTCCCATATACTGTTCCTCCCTCAAATGCTGCATTAGGTGAGTCAGAGAGGTTCATTATGAGTGCAATCCCATGTTAATTGCTTAACTGTAATACTGCTCAGGTCAGAATAAAAGCACAGATACAAATCATGTGAACTCAGATGATGTCATACATTTAAAATATATATTCATGCGTTTTTGTATGTATCTACACTGTGCTGTATACATACGTATGGATATTTGTCTGTGCACACACCCACACACACCATGGCAAAAAGGCCAGTAGATTGGTGATTGACATCTAGAAATGACCCAATTTTGGAAGCGGATGAAGTACCATAGCAACTGTAGTAGGAGAAGGGTTTGGAAGGGTTAATGGAAGCCACCAATAATCCTAAAACCACATAAACACCTCCGGTTCTCTAGTCCACGCAAAGCTGTATGCATTTGAATTCCCACCAAAAGCTCACTGAGTTCTAGATACCGTCAGCAAATTTAAAATTGCAAATTCCAAAATATAGGCATCATGGCCCCCTCGGGGCACTTATGGACGCCGTGCACACTGGCGCTACAGGGCCAACACTAGACCTATACTCTCACAGGTATCCCTTCCCCTAATGCCACCCAGCAAGCCACCCCTAGTGATAACCAGCTGGTGTTGGCAGGTGCCCACAAGCAGACTCAGGGGAGCTCTGGAGAAAAACCTGTAGGGGGAAAGGGTTTAGCATTTGGGGACAGCAGCTGCGCACGCCTTGGTGCTCCGGTGTGGTCACCAATCTTACCCAGGACCCAAATTCGCTTCGGAGCTGTTCGGAAAGATCTGCATTATGCCAGGGCTCTGGGCCAACTCACCTCAACGAAATAAAAACAGGGCAGGAGAGTGACGCTGTCCTTGATCACTTTGCCCTTTGGCCTCTCCTTCGTCGACATCCCGGCCGCCTGCCGGGCTCCGCGTCCTCCCCCGGGCGAGGTGTGCACCGCGCGGCCGAGGCGAGCAGCCTGCTCCAGCCGCAAGCGCCCCGCGCCGCTGATGTCACATTCCCCGCGGGCACCGCTGGAGCCAGCGCGCTGCATGCAGCGCCCCCGCCTTCTCCCCGCCCCTCTTTGCAGTAACCCCGCGGTTCCCAGAGCCCGCAGGTCTCTTTCTTCAGCGCTGGGTTCGCCCGGGTTGTGCTGGCAAGGGATAGTCGGTTCCCTCCTCCAAGCTGTTGCTGCTATGGCTTCCCCTCCTTGCCAGTCTCCCTGCGCTCTTCACCGCCCAGGCGAAGGGCTCCTCCGCTGGCTGTGGGAGCTTGACGTCAAGAACAGGGAGAAAAAAAAAATCCAAAAAACAGGGGAAGCACTCCTGATTTCTGCAGAAGCAAGGCTGAGGAACCAAGGGACCTGGTCTCAGATAGTCTATCTGGTGTACGTCTTGGCTTCCTGGAGAGCAGAAATCTGCACAGCACCCATACCCACAGCAAGAACAGCTACCTCAACCTGTGCAAAATTAAAACTCGGACTTCATACTGACAAGTAGGCCATGGAGGGGGGTGGGGGGGATTCACTGGGAGCTGGCTGCTGCCCAAGCGTGACAGCCCTGCCTGCGGATCTCTAGGGAGGTAACTCCCAGGGAAGCTTGGATCAGCTGGGGAGCGAAGTGAGTGTTGCCTGCATCTGAAGAGACAGGGTGAAGGGGCATCATCATGCGCCCCAAAGGCCAGGAAAGGCTCTAAACTCACTCTCCTTTATTTATTAAATTTATTCATTTATTTTACACCCCGAGGGCAGTTTCCTCTCCCTCCTCTCCTCCCATTCCCTCTCCCATCCCATGCCCCGCCCCCCACCTCCCCTCTCTAACCTTACTCTTATTCCCTAGCATAGTGTGGGCATCACAGTCACAACCATGCAAGCATGGCTCCAAACACTGAGGTCTGAGTGAAGCCCTTTGCCTGATTGGCAGCTCTCTCTACTGTGGTTGCTCTCAACTTTGTGATTCTTGGACCAGCTACCAGAATCAAGTGATACAGAAGAAACACTTAATGAACACAAAGTAACACATTATGCAGATAATCACCCACTTGGGTGACTATCTTTTCTAGGTCATTTCTAGCACCTCCAAAGTCTCCTTACCAACCACAAGACTTTGAATCCCCAGTCTGCTACTATTCAGCTGCCCTTTTCCATGCTGCTCCAGTCGGGTTGTGGTGATTTAGGGGCCACATCCACTCATGATCATGTTTCACTACCCACGCAGCATCCTGTCCCGACTCATTCCACCAGGATTAGGTTTCCGAATCCTACAGTGCAGTTGCTGGGTTCGCATCCCCATGTACCATACTCACCTAGTGAAACTATCCTCAGGTAAACCAGATGTCTGTCTGAACAGCAAACTACAGTAGAATAAAAATATAACACGTGATCTTGCTTTCCCTGAGACTTGGGATCATACCTTTAAATCTCCCCACCCCGCAAATCTTAGTGTTTCCTTCTTAGTTGGTCATGGTTCCATTCATTGGCTATGGTTCTATCCATATCTTCTCCTAACTTTCAGAAAATAGAAGCTGTAGAAAAAGACTATATTATCTTACAAAATGGAATACTCGCTCACTTCCCATAGACACTACCATGTCTTGCTTTGATTGGCAGAAAAAAAAAAATCAGTCCCTACAATCTTCAAGTCATTCCTTATTCCCCATACAGTAGCCAAAATGTACTTCTGAAAAGCAACTAATTATTTCATTTCCCTGATTAACATTCTAGAAGTTTCCCACTACATGAAGAAACCCCCAAGCTCTTTATTTTATCTTGAAGCTTGATAGCCATTCTGTTTGTTGGGCTTCACTGATTGTTCTGGCCCTGAAGGTGAGGGGACCCAGTTTAGCTTTTCACTGCCTCAAAACCTTGGTACTTGCAGTGCCTATATGTTCACAAATGCAGTTCTATCAATATTGCAGTTAACTGTTCATGCACTTCATGCTTCTGCTTAAAAATGGGGTGCTTGTCAAATTTTTCTTTGACATACAAGTAACAGTTACAACCCAAGACTTTGATTCCTCCTCCTCTTTTTCTTTCTCCTTCTTCTCCTCTTCCTCTCTCCTCCTTCCCTCTCCTCCTCCCCCTTCTCCTTCCCCCTCCTTCTCCCCTCCTCCCCTCCTTCTTTTGGTTTATTTCTTTATCTATGAGTGCTTTGTCTGTATGTACACCTACACACCAGAAGAGGGCATTGTATCTCATTATAGATGGTTTGTAAGCCACCATGTGGTTGCTGGGAACTGAACTCAGAATGCCAATGCTCTTAACTGCTGAGCTATCTTTCCAGTCCCCTCTTCATTCTTTTATAATATTTTGTTTCATTTTTAGAGCTTACTACTATTTTAGTAATTAATTAAATATTTCACCCATCTAAAACTTTA